TAAAAAATAATAAGGGTAAGTACACTGTGTTTAGTGTGTTGCCTTCTCTATAAAATTTTCTTTATTTATATTTTGCTAGTTGTGGGGCTGGAACTCACCATCTCAGTGCTGTCTCTGAGCTCTTTCACTCTACCAATTTGAGCCACAGCGCCACTTCCAGTTTTCTGGTGGTTAATTGGAGATAAAAGTCTCATGGATTTTCCTGCAATGGGCTGGCTTTGAATCTGGATCCTCAGATCTCAGCCTCTTGAGTGGCTAGGATTATAGTTGTGAGCCACTGGCCCCTGGCTTATATAAAATTTTAAAGCTTAAGTACATATTTAGGACTGCTTAGACTTTCTAGACAGGTACACGAGTCAGCTAACAGGTAGGCCAGTCTGTGGAAGAGGAAATGGGCAATCATTGACCTTTCTGTACCTTTTGAATATTGTACCATGTCTGTATGATGTATTCAAAAAATAAAATGATTTAAAAAATATCTTTGATCTTCTCATTTCCTGGAGACTCCATGACATTTGGCTTCGAACCAATTTCCTGCCAACAAGACTAAATTGGAGAAACATTTGGGCACCATGTGCCTGGTAACCTTCGACCAGACAAAGACCCCTTCAGAGGGACATTTACTCTGTAGAGGAAGGAGGCAGAGGTCTCATTACCTCCTTCCCATCAGCTGTCTCCCTTCCCATCTTCATCCCTTTGTTCCTGGAGGCTCTTGCTCTCTGTTTCTCTCTCCCCCCCCCACCTCTCATACCAGTGCTCGAACTTAGGGCCTTGTGCTGTCACATCACTTTCTTTGCTCCAGGCTGGAACTCTACCACTTAAGTCATAACTCCACTTTCAGCTTTGTGGTGATTAGTTGAAGGTAAGAGTCTCTTGTTTTTGTCCTCCTGGGATGGCTTTGAACCTTGAACCTCAGATCTCTGACTCCTGAGTAGCTAGGATTACAGGTGTGAGCCACCATTTCCCACCTCTGTTCTTTCTTTCGACCTTTCTATTATGATTTTCTTTTCCTTTTGTCAAGTCTCTTCCCTGTTCTGCTCTCTCCATGCTGAACCTTCTCAGTGATCCTTCTTCCTTTCCCAGCCCTGTCTAGAACACCCACAACTGTGCTACCCTAGCTTGGGACACTGAGTTCTTGGGTTTCCGTTGTCTTGGCTCCATGAAATCACGATGGTGCATCACGCCAGGCACTCAAACAAATTGTTTCCCCTCTTTTTTTTTTAAGTATTATTCACGGTGGGATTATGGATTATTAGATGCTCCCTATCTGTCATGATTTAGTGTTATCACAGTATAAATGATCCGGAGCGTATGATGGGATTATATTCTAACAAACCCATCTCACCTGCAAAGTATCTTAGCCATGAGGTGTGGTGTGCTATAGTCTCAGTCATTCCCTTTCTGATATGGCACAGACTAAGAGTTGTACCCTGAATGTCCCCACTCCCCCCACCATCGGGTCCTGGGGCTTGAATTCAGGGTCTGCGCTCTGCCCCTGAGCTCTTTTGCTCAAGGCTAGTGCTCTATCACTTTGAGCCACAGCGCCACTTCTGGTTTTCTGGTGGTTAACTGGATATGAGTCTCACAGACTTTCCCACCTGGTCTGGGTTTGAACCACAATGCTCAGATCTCAGCCTCCTGAGCAGCTAGGACTACAGGTGTGAGCCACCAGTGCCTGGCTCTTTTATGGACTGCCTTACTTAGGATCTTTGGGGCCTAGCCTGGATCCCAAGCCAGCCTTGGGAGAGCTAGAACCTCTTTTTTTCCCCTGGGGCCCCTTGAATTGTGGTCTTCAGGGACACAGCACCTACCTGGTGTCCTGCTTGCACTTGGCTGGTAATCAGTAGAGGCTCCACTATTGGCCCATACACAGCCCCAGATCCCCTGCCTGTCACACAAGGCTCTGGGCCTTCCTGTCCTGCCTTGCTTCTAGCCGCATAGATGGTGGCTCACTGTTCCCATGTAATTTTCCAGCTCCTTACCTCTGTTCAGGCGGGTCCCTCAGCCAGATAGGCCTTTTCCTTCACATGCTGTTTCCACAGCCTGTGACCCTGACCAGACTGCCTGTTCCCAAACACAGCCTATTAGCTCCCTGCCTTGTGTTCCCCTCTGTAAAGAAGCACACCTCCTGTTCACTTGTCTCTCTGAGCTCTCAGAGACCTATGTGACCTCATTTATGTTTGTGTATCCTTACTGGGCTCCAGGAATGGAAGACAATAAAAAGTTAGGGAGAGCTTGGCACTGGTGGCTCATGCCTGTAATCCTAGCCACTCAGGAGGCTGAGATATGAGGATCAAGGTTCAAAGCCAGCCTAGGCAGGAAAGTCTGTGAGACTCTTATCTCAAATAAACCACCAGAAAACTGGAAGTGGCACTGTGGCTCAAGTGGTAGAGTACTCGCCTTGCACAGAAGAGCTGAGGGACAGTGCCCAAGCCCAGAGTTCAAGCACCACTACTAACCAAAAAAGAAAAAGAAAAGAAAAGAAAAAGAAAAAAATGTTAGGGAGTAAATAATGAACGAGTGGATAAAGAAGCATGCAAACAAAACGATAATGTGGCTGAATGAACACTTCAGGAAGGACCTGTTTCTCATAGAATACCTCCCAAATCCAGTCACCTGGAGTTTGACCTTCTTTTGGTACTGGACTTGAACTCAGGGCCTAATACTCTCACTTAGCCTGCTTGCTCACTTTCTTTTGTTTAAATTTTTTTTATTGTTGTTAAAAAGTGATATACAGAGGGGTTACATAAATTAGGTAAAGAGTATATTTCTTTTTGGACAATGTCACCCCTTAGTCTCCCATTTCTCTCTCTCTCTCTCATTTTCTTTCCTTCCTTCCTTCTTTTCTTCCTTCCTTTCTTTCTTTCTCTCTATCTCTCTCTCTCTCTCGCTCACTTGCTCACTTGCTTGCTTGCTTTCTCTCTTGCTTGCTTGCTCTCTGGTCAAGGCTGGCATTTTACCACTTGAGCCACACCTCTCCTTTCAGCATTTTAGAATTGACTGGAAATAGGACTCATGCGCTTTCCTCCCTGGACTGGCTTCGAATCATGAACCTTAGCTCTCAGTCTCTTGCGCAGCGAGGGTTGCAGGTATGAGCTACCGGCGTCCGCCTGAGCTCAAGCTTCTTAATGAGGAAACAAGGAGTGAGAAAGTCGCAGATGACAAGCCAGCCATCAGGAAGGGGCTTTGGTCAGAAGCCTGAGGATGGTGACCTGGATTCTTTGGAGAGTCCCAAGTGCAGAAATAAACACTGAGGATGGAAGTGAAGTTGACCTATGGGTGGGTTCAGGGCTGTGAATTCTTGGTCTTTTCTGGCAGCGAGGAAGCTCTACTGGCAGGAAGGAGGCAAGCTAGCTTTGGTGGGAAGGGCATATCAAGCAGGGGTCAAATTATATAGAGGAGGAAACTGAACCCTCAAGTTCTTCCTCAGCAACACAGACTCACCAGAGATCAATGGAACAAAAACAAAAGCCTCTACTCAACCCTCCACTCTCCAGACTAGATCTGTATCCATACTACATCTCTGAAGGGAAACATGTACAATATGCATCTGTATACCAACACTCTGTGTACAGCCTGAAACTTAATTATCTGTGAGGCTGCATGGATTCATGGATGGCTGGATAGACAGATATATTGGTGAATAGGTAAATGAATGAATGGTAAGGAGGAAGATGGGTAGACAGGTAGATGGATGGATAGGGCATGGGTGAACAGGTAGATAGATGATGAGTAGACATGTGGGTAGATGGATAGGTGAAAGACTGGATGGTAGATGAGCTGATGGGTAGATAGGTGGATGTGTAGATTAGTAGATAAGTGGATGGTTGACAGGTAGAAGGATAATAATTACATGGTGAATAATTACATGGTAATTATTCATGGTAATCCACATGGATGGATGCGGATGTGTTTGAGTGGATAATTGAATGGATAGATAAGTGAATGGATGAATAAGTGAATGGGTTGGCAGGTGGATGGGTGAATATCTACACGGATTTGTGGGTGAGTGGATGGTAGCTGTGCAAATGGGTACAGCAGATGGGTGCACAGATGGATAGATGGACAGACCAATGGATGACCAGATAGTTAGGTGAATGAAGAGTCAATAGACATGAAAACAGGTATTGATGGGTTCACAGCAGATGGATGGGTGGCTGTGTGGACATATAGATGGCTAGATAGACATGTACATAATCAGATGGGAAAGTGGATGACCTAACAGATAAATGGACAAATAAATGAGTATAGGGTAAACAAATGTGGTTAGATGAATAGACAACCAGAGAGACATAGATGGATGGGAAAATAGATGAATGGATGGACATACAGGAAAGGTTTGTACACTAGGAAGACTAGAATGGTACTGAAGCGTTGGCAAGAGATGGGGAAACTGAGGAATCTGGGCTGGGAACAGAGCTCCTAAGGATATGGAAGCAGCTGTGGTGCTCAGGAAGCTGGAGGGGAAGGTGTAAGCTACAGGACCCTTCCCTAGTAGCGAGGGAGCTCACTGAAAAGACAGAAGAAGGAAGCAAAACAGCACTAGGCTCCAGGGTAGGCGAGTTCAAGAGTCCAGCCTAGGTAGACCCTTGCAGGTGCATAGGGTTTAAGGAAGAGTAAGTCCTGGCAGTCCTCAGATTCGAGACCTCAACCATCCAGGCTTAGCCTATCACATAGATGCTCCAAGAAGATGGCTATTGGGCACATTGGGGTCTCAGAAGAAGTGGGCATTGTTGGGCAAGGGATTCAAGGGCCTTGGCAGAGCTCAGGCTAAGGGGCAGCGGAGGCCTCTCAGTGGTATCCTGTGACTTTCTCCCTCCCGTCTCTCTCCCAGCCCCAGCTTCCTCTGGGCAGGGGGCCTGGCCCCCATGGCCTCCCAGGCCAGCCCCTTGAGAACCACCTGCCCCAGCCGGCCAGAGACTTCCTGTAGCGCAAGAGATTTATGCAAACGGGCTGGGGCAGTGATGTCACCCCAAGGGGACTATCTCCTAGTGGCAGGCCCTTCGATAAAATCAGGAACTTGAGCTGGCCCTGCAATGTCAAGGGAGGGGGCTCACCCAGGGCTCCTGTAGCTCAGGGGGCAGCCCTGAGCCCTGCGTTCACCCCGCCACCGGCCAGCTCCCCCTCCCAGCAACGGGGCACCCCTGGCCCCATCCTGAGGGGCTCCGAACTGGCTCCCACCGAGGCAGGGGATCTGACTGACTTGGAGTTCGGCTGGATGTTACAGGCGTGCAAAATGGAAGGGTTTCCCCTCGTCCCCCCTGTGAGTACTGGGGCTACTCCACTAGGCTAACTCAGGCCTGGGGGTGCCGGCTGCCCACGAACCCTCCAGCCCACCCGCTAGCCTCCAGCTTGCTATCAGTGGGAAGTTGGTGTTTCCTCTCCGAGCTCCTGGCCCGAGACCCAGAGAGCAAGGGGGCCATTGGCTTCCTCAGAGCATGCCCTGCCTGGCTGGCTGAGGGCTGCCGGCTGGGCCCATGGCGGGGCTGTGATCGTTGGGGCCTGAACAGTTATTTATAGATGGGTGAGGGTGGCAGGTGGGAGCCCAGGGCGCAGTGTTGGGCTGAGGCTGGTGTGGTGAGGGCTCTGAGAGCGCGCACTGGAGGACATAGGGAGACAGGCTTGGGTGCGGAGGACAGTCCTCAGGACAGGAAGAGTTGAGGGTAGAGGCAACAGGCTGAGCGGTTTCAGCCTCTGGCCTGGGGTTGTCTTGGAGACACAGGTTGATGGAAGTCTAGGTCTTCAAGGCCAGCCTGAGGCCTGGCACAGAGGACTGGTTTTTGATCCGAAGCATCTGGGCCTAGACATCTTATAGTCCCTGAGAGGCTGGGTGGGGGCCGGGGCTGGACTGAGAGCTGGAGGCAAACCAGGCAGGAGCCTGACACAAGGTAATTATTAGGCTGAGGAATCAGGGAGAAATCAGGCCGTGGCTGGGCCTGAGGCTGGGACTGGGATAAGACCTGGGGTCGGATGGATAGGGACCAAATCTGGGGGTGAAGATGCAGGAGTCCCAGGGGACCCTTGAGAAGGGCAGGGCGGCAGGTGGGGCCGATCTCCAGTGGTCCCTGCTCTGGATGACAGTTGCAGCCTGAGACAGGTGTTAGGCCGGAGTCCCCTGGAGAGGACCCTCTGCCCAACCCCCAGAGGACAGGGGGCAGGGAGGCACGGGTGGGGGAGGGGGCGTGGAAGGGCTTGGCAGGGCCTGCCCACCTGACTCAGCTCCTCTCTACCCACCTCAGCTCCGATCCGAGCTTTGGGAGGCACCCCAGGGCTGACATCACAGCCAGTGTCCTGCAGTAGGCCGACTGCGCTGCCTGGAAACCTGGGGTCTAGTGTATGTGTGTGGGGGGGGTGGAGCTCAGTGCCCACCTCTACCAGGAACCCTGTTTCCCATCAGAGGGCAGGAAGCTAGATGGCTTTGTCCCCAGGAAAGCTACAGGCCCTGCAGCATGCCTACACCATCTCTGCTCCTTGACTGCTCAGTCTGGAGCTCCAGACAGGGCAGAGAAAGGGGCTGATCTTGGGCTTTTACCCCAGGGCCCCCAACCCTCTGTTTAACCCCAAGTGTCACTCTCAGTGTCTCCTGGGAGGGTGGGCCTCAGTGCCTTGTGCAATCCTTGGGCAAATCACGGGGGCGGGGAGAGGCCGGGTGACTGTTGGGAAGACTCCGGATGTGTGCGTCCCGGCGCCCAGGCTAGTCATCAGGGGTGAAGGGAGGAAGACAGGGCAGAGGGAGGCAGAAGGAGGGGGGGTGAAGGGGAGCAGGAGGACAGGCAGGGAGAGAGGAGGAGGAGGAGGAAAAAGGAACAGAAGGACAGGGGACAGAGGAGGGAGAGGAAGAGGGGCAGAGGAAGGTATGGGCAGAGTAAGAAGGAGAGGGAGGGAGGAGGGAAAAGAGGAGGGGGGGGAGGAAGGAAGGGCAAAGGGCATTCCAGTGGGGGCATTGGAGAGGAGAATGAGTGAAGGATCAAGGACCTGTGTCCCTTGGCCCCAACACTTGCCTGGCTGACCTCCGTCACGCCATCTGCGAGGGCCATGGTGGTGGTCCTGTGCCTAGGGGCAGCTGGCACAGGCTGAGGGAGAGGGAGGGGAGGCTGGGCAGGTTGGGGCAGGACACCAGGGTGCTGCGCAGACACACAGTGGCATGTGGGCGGCTCTGTGCAAGGCTGTGGTGTGAACACTCGAAGGCCTCAATACAGTGTGTGTATGCGTGTGTCAACCCATGTAACCGCATGTGGCTGCGAGGATGAGTGTAAGATGGGGTGTGTGTGTGTGTTTGCGTGTGAGTAGGTTTATGGCAGTGTGAGCCTGTGCACACAGGGCGTGGGCACGGGGACAATAGAGGACATAAATCCCCCCCCAGCTTGGGGAATGTCACAGGGAGCGTGCGTACATTGGGGGAGAGCCTGCCTTGTTATGCACGCATGTGAACAGGGTGGGGGGGCTGTGGGGAACAGACAGGCAGGGGAAGGGGCTGTGCCCTCTTTATTTAACCTTTAACCTCTGTACCCTATCGTTAAGCTCTTCTGGAACCCCTTCTCACCTCCCTGGGACCCTGATCTCTTCCACTCCAAGCTGGGGGAGGGTTGCAGGCCCAAGGACTGTCTCCATCAGGGAGGATGGGGTGGAGCCCTACACAGCAGGGCTGCAAGTCAGGCTGGGGTTCTCCCCCACAACCCAGGCCCTGACATCTCTCCTCTCTCAACAGCCGTCGGAAGATCTGGTTCCCTATGACACGGATCTGTACCAACGCCCGGCTCACGAATACTACCCCTATCTCAGCAGCGATGGAGAAAGCCACAGTGGTGTGTACAGGGCGGGCTGTCCCTTCTTCCCCGGGGGAGGCCAGGGGCTGGAGAGGGAGCAAGATGCAGCTCCCAGAGCCTCTGGGCTTCAGATGGAGTTAGTGAGGTTAGGGTAAGGGCAATGAGCTTCCTGGTCCCTATGTGCATTCCAGCCCCCCATTCCTGAGCATCTCCCCGTGCCAAAGGCATGATTGGTTCCTCCCACTTTTCACTTGTCCAGTTTTTGAGGACCTTTTTTTTTTCTTTTTTGGCCATGGGTCTTGAACTCTGGGCCTAGGCACTCTCCCTCAGCTCTTCAGCTCAAGGTAAGCACTCTACCACTGGAGCTACAGCACCACTTCTGTTTTCTGGTGGTTTATTGGAGATGAAGAGTCTCATAGACTTTCCTGTCCCGGCTGGCTTTGAACAGTGATCCTCAGATCTCAGCCTCCTGAGTAGCTAGGATTACAGGCGTGAGCCACCAGTGCCGGGCTTTGAGGAACATTTTCGTAGACAAGGACACCAAGGCTTAAGGAGCTGAGTGACTGTTCAGGGCCTTATGAGGAACCCAAATTGGTTTGTCTGCTCCTTGTCCGGTGCTTTTTCCTCTGCTCTCCCACTCCTCCACGTTTCTGGCCCCGCCTCCTCTCTGTTCTTCACCCCGTTCATCTTGAACTCCCCCTGGTGCATGCCCACTCCCTGCTGAGTGCCACACAGCTGGGCAGCATCCCCTGCCTCTTTTACCAGGTCCTGTCCCAACAGGACAACCTGAATCTCTCCATACACTATGGCTGAATTTCCCTGGGGAGTAAAATGCGCCGCCCCCTTCCCTCAGTTGAGATCTTCTGGCCAATGGAAAGTCTCCAATGACTCTAACTGAGCTGAAGTCCCAAGTTTGCTCGTAGGAAGAGGCCTGGGCCAGGGGATCTAACTGACCAGACCAAGGCCTAGCCCGCGTCTTAGAGAAGACAGGCACTCGGTGCCTAGAACCTGGGCAGGGGTCCTGACAGGTCCCCACGAAGCAGATCTTGACATGTTGCCTTAGATATCCTTGAACTAAAAGTTAAGTGAACCAGGTAAGGGGAAAATCCTTACTGGGGAGATTCTCCAGGGCCTCTGGGGACAGACACACCGGTGTCTGACCCCACAGGTCATAGGCATGCTGGGTGGCACACTTGAGGAGACGTCTTACCTGACAGCCACACACAGAATGGCAAGTCCTGTATTTAGGCTCATCCATCTGGAGGTCAAACTTTGAGACCAGAACTCATATCTAACATCCCGGGGCAGGTGGTAAACCCACCTCAATGCCTTATCTGGGAATCCACAGGCTTCTTTTACAACAGATTTAAATTATCCTCTTTTGTTCCTTTAAACATAGGATTAAAGGCATGAGCCACCAGCACCTGGCTGGTGGCTGTGAGTGTGTGTGAGGCTGGGGGTGGCGGTGGGGGAGGGGGGGTCAGTTGGTCGTGGGGCTTGAACTCTGGGTGCTAGGTGCTGTCCCTCAGCTCTTCAGCTCAAGGCAAGCACTCAACCATTTGAGCCACAGCGCCACTTCCAGTTTTCTGGTGGTTTATTGGAGATAAGAATCTCACGGACTTTCCTGCCCAGGCTGGCTTTGAACCCAGATGCTCAGATCTCAGCCCTCTGAGTAGCTAGGATTACAGGCACAAGCCACCGGCGCCCAGCTCTGGCTAAACATTTTTTAAAAAGATTTTTATACATTAGTTGTACAAAGAGGATTTCATTGTGCCTCTTCCCTCCAACCATCCAACGCAGCCCATAGCCTCCCTCCATCCTGTCCTCTTCTTAAAACAATGGAAACTGGTCTCATTGTTCCACTTTCATACTGCATTGACCGTACTGAGATCATACCCACCCTCTTTCTTCCTCTCCATTCACCTTCCTTTCAGCGCATTTCTAATTCCTCAGAACAAGTAGACAGCTCTCATTGGCCTCCATTTCCCCAGCCAAGTCTGAGTGAAAGAGCACCTCACCCACCCTTCCCACAGCACCCGTGAGGTCCTTCTGGGCTGGAAGAGAGCGCCCCCTGGTGGCTCAGACCCAGCAAGCTCAGCGCTGGAACCCTTCTTCCTTTGCTCCACTCACTCTCAGTCCCATCTGCTTTCAATTCACCAGGTTTAGGAGTCTTTCCTTTGGGTCTTTCACAGCCTCACGTTTCCATCCTTTAGCTGAAGGTGCTGCCCACTCCCTTAGAAACCAGCTATGATGGGCCTAGGCTAATGGAGTGAGGGCTTCACAGAAAGCCAGGCTTTCCCTGGCTCCCGGCTACAAGGCTTCCTTGTATCCGGGGATGAAGCTCTAAGAACTCCTGGAGCCCTGCACTGAGAGCTTGTGCCTGTAATTTTAGCTACACAGGAGGCTGAGATCTGAGGATCAAGGTTCAGAGACAGCCCAGGCAAGAAAGTCTGTGAAACTTGTATGTCCAATTAACCACCAAAAAGCCAGAGATGGAGCTGTGGCTCAAGTGGTAGAGCACTATCCTTGAGCAAAAGAAAGCTCAGGGACAGTGTCCAGGCCCTGAGTTTAAGCCTCAGGACCAGCACAAAAAAGCAATAATAACTTCTGGTTGGACATCTGGTTGTTCTACTTTGAGCATGAGCCCCAATTCTCCCAAAGATTCCTTTACTACCTCCAGCTGTCCTTGAATTGCCCTCTCCCCTCCCCTGGATTATGGTGATGTCTGAAGACTCTAGAAAGAAGACCACTCCCCATCCTTCCACCAATTCCTACTTGTCCTTTGTGCCCATATTTTTGGATAGTGATGCTTAATGGAAAGGCTTTGGGGTGGACCTTGGTCAGACTTGGCTCTATCTACTCACCAGCTATGCTAGCTCTGGGCAAGTAGTAACCTAACCTCTCTGCATCTGTAAAGCTGAGAGAAAAAAAAAGTCTCAGAGTTGTGATGGCTCAGTGAGATAATGGATAATCTCTGAGGTCCTGCCCTCTGCTGAGAACAAGGCTCAGGAACCTCTCAGTAATGCTTGTTAACTTTACTGTAGCCCCAAGAAAGGAAGGCCAAACAGTAAGGAGAGCAGAAGCAAAGGGCTCTGGTGACCAATCAACTGGGGTATTTGCCTACCAACCAGCTGCCCAGCCAACCACTCAGCCATCTCTTCATTCACCTTCCCAATTACCCATTCTCTCATCTACCCACCCATCTACCTAAACCCCACGGGTCCTCCTACCCACTCACCCACTTATCCAGCCATCCTTCCAACCCAGTACGCTCTTCTGCTTCCCTTATTGGACCTTCCATCAAAGGGTCTCTGAGTGTTTGTCACAAACCGAACACTCTTGCAGGTCTCTGATGGTCCGTGCTGAGTAAATCAAACAAGCCGATGCTCTCCTGGAGCTTATGTTCCATCCAAGAGACAGAAAATAAATAGTTGAATAAGCAAACTATAATAGTAAGGCCTACAAAATGCAGCGATGTCAGGCAGTGTTTAGTGGGAAGCCACTGTCATGTGAGTGATCCGGGCAGCTGTTGAGATGGCAGTGGTGTTGAAATCTTAATGAAGAGGGGGAACTGTGCGTGGGAAGGTAGGAAGGGGAGGGCTTCCAGTTACAGGTAGCGGAAGAACACTAGTGCAGGACTGACTCAGAAGGCTCAGTAGCGGCCAGATCACAAAAGGCTTGAAGAAGCCAGGTGACTCATGCCTGTAAGCCTAGCGACTCAGGAGGCTGAGATCTGAGGATTGTAGTTCGAAGCCATCTAGGGCAGAAAAGGCCATGAGATTCTTATTTTCAATTAACCACTTAAAAACTGGAGGTGGTGCTCAAAGTGGTAGAGTGTTAGCCTTGAGCAAAAGAGTTCAGGGACAGCACTCAGGCCCTGAGTTCAAATCCCATAACCAAAAAAAAAAAAAAAAGCTTGAAGGAGTATGGATTTCATCCTACAGGAGTTTTCTTTGTTTATAAAACAAACTCAAAGCCTCCCACATCCAAATACTTATTGCCAAAATTTAAGAAATATAATAATATGTGAAGAAAAACATTCCCCTCTCTTTCATCTTATGCTCAACTGTTGACACCATGAATCTTTACAGAGGTTTTATTCTGTACTTAGCAACCTACACATCTGCAAATGTACACATACACACAGGCATATACTATTCCTTCAGAAATGGAATTGACATCTCATGCTGCTCTGCAGTTTGCTATTTTTTACTTTGACTATAGACATCCAATAAATGTGCAAAGCTGTGAAATGGAGACCTTGGGCATTATTCATTCACAGCTTTGGTTTTTATGAGGGCCTTCCAGGGGGTGAGCAGAGATGAATCAGCTCCATTTTCAGTTTGAGATACGGTCTGTTCACATGTACGGCGAAAGGGAATTTGACTAGTAACTCAGAACCTACACATGCTCGGGTGAATATTCCTGTCAGCTGAGCCACGTGGTGTCCTTTGGTTACCTGTACTTTCTTGTCCCGGTTTCTGAGGGTCACTGTGAAAAGACAGCCGGGCACTGGTGGTTCGAAGCCAGCCCAGGCAGGAAACTCTTTATCTTCAATTAACTACCAGAAAGCTGGAAGTGGTGCTATGGCTCAAAGTGATAGAGCACTAGCCTTGAGCAAAAAAGCTTAGGGACAGTGCCCAGGCACTGAGTTCAAGCCCCAAGACCTGTAAAACAAAACAAAACAAAAACAGATTTCTGGGATTCATCCCCCTTCCTCATTGCTATCTGGAGTAACCATGCCTGATATTTAACCCCTCAGTGTCATAATTTCCTCATAACAAGGCCAAATACACAGGACTATTCTAAGGACTGAGTGAGTGATGATCCGTAAAATGCTCAGAACAGATCCTGGCAAACAATGAGTGTATTGTCTTTATAGTCTCCCCAGCAAGGATGGGTGGTAGGTAAGGTTGTTGCTGTATCATTTTGTATTTTATCTCTTATCTTTATTTTGTGCTTTTGATTGTATATTGAATTCAGGTTGAAAATTAGTTTTTCCCTTAGGTAAACCCCCCTTTTTTTGGTAGTACTTGAAT